TCGGAGTTTTCACATGAACTCTCTGCAAAACCCAGTCAACCCTCTCAGCCTCTCCCACTCCACCTAGCACGAGTCAGCAAACCCCACAGGGCCCAGCTTTTCACACACCCCTGCAGAGCACTCGCTCTGCTCCTGTGTGCTTGGTCTGAGTCTAGCTTTTCGACCTCTGCAACACTGAGACCCTGAGGTTAATCTCTGGTACGCCGGCCAGCACTTACCAATGCCTCGACCTAAAACAAGAGGAACCCAAGTGCGTGGCTCCACACACCTGCCATCTTGAGACTGTGTGTGTGTGTGTGTGTGTGTGTGTGTGTGTGTGCATGCGTGCATGCATGCGTGCAGTGGGCCTGGAGCTTTTCCCCAGAGGCTCTGCCATGGGTGTGTCTGAAGACAACGGCCCACACACTCACCCTGACAGTTTCCAGGATGTTCTCTCTGGACCTGTACCCAGCATGTTCAACGCCTAGGTGTTACAACCCACAAGAGGGGTCCAGGGTTATCCATGAATGGAAATGCCCATGCAGTCTTCACCAATCCCGTTCTCACTGACTTGAAAGAAGCCGCCAGCCAGTCACATAACTTACTTCTAACATGAGAATGTTATCTTATTGTTTACCATCATCTGAAACCACTGGCAAGTGGATTTTATTTTTACATACTAATGAAAACAAAGTACTTGAAGATTTCAAATAATCCAATATGGAACTGCTGAGAATCTTACAGTTTTAGAAAATAGAAAGAGATAGCTTGAAGAAGAAACCATCACTGAGAATATGCTCGAATAATTTGCTTACAGCAAAGCCCCTGGGGCCTCAGTTTGAACCTATTTACTCTCATTTTAGACACACATTACAAATGGGTGTGGTTCTGTCCCAGTCCACAGTAAACAGGCACCAAATTAGGTAAGCATGGAGGTGGCCTTCTGACCACTGAGAAGTGACAGTTGACAGACTGGCTGTGGAAGGCTGAAAACCCCATTAAAAAGCAGATGTAGCCAGGTGTGGTGGCCCACACCTTTCATCCAACACTCCACTGGCAGAGGCATGTGGATCTTTAGGAGTTTGAAGACAGCTTGGTCTACATAGGCATTCCAGGTCAGCCAGTGCTATAAAGTGAAACCCTGTCTCAAAATAAATAATCAGACACAAAAGCTCTGTATGGATCAGCTCAAGTGCAAACACTGCACACAAAATGCACAACATGAAAGTGATGCTTTTAATCCCTGAATTATTAGTAAACATTTAATATGCATTGGGTATTTTTTTAGGATATGTGTAAAACATTCCAGAGGATCGATATAATACATTTTAGTGCACTCTCTACTCAATTTTTTCAAGGGAAAGAAAAATAGCATTAATCTAAAAGCGTCTGTTGTTTATGGGGGTATCTCTAGATTCAGTTTTAAAATATCAGCTCCTTTTTAAGTATAGTTTTGTATTTACTTGGAGTTTGCACTGGAGTACAGGAAATACGATTTTAAGGGGCAAAGAATTCCAAGAATAGCATGTTTGTAGTGCAAATCCCTTTATACCTCAGAAACTGCAACTGTCACTCCTCTGCTCATGAAAAGCTGGCTCTTGAAGTAGGTGTGAACACAAATTGCAAATCTACCCAGAACTTGCTTAAACTATCATGAGGACATTTGTTAGAGGTCCTCAATATATTGATTTGAAGGTTCAATGGATTAAGAAAAAAATTTAGTCAGAGCTATGCTGCTTGCTGAGAGAAAACTGCCACTTTCACAATAAGGAAGCTAGTCTTAAGTCCCCATTCATTTCTACCTGAAATAAAAAGCCTTTATGGCCTGTTTGCCCAGCCCTGTCTTCCCAAGTCCCTCATGGGCAGTCACCTCCCACAGAGAGGACAAACACTGACCCATGACAGACAGAACCAGGCTAAGGTCCTACATGACAGGAGTCACAAACGCTGTGGTCCTTGCAGTCAGCAAGAACTTCAAATGACAGCAGTTTCAGAATGATGGGACTAGAAGTCAAGACTGTCACAGCTCTAGGTTCTAATGCCTTAAAAATACGAAGTGTGGCTGTGTAGTGGGGGCACTTATAAATTCATGGAAAAGTTTGCTAAGAAATCTGTTTCTGCAAAATTGATGAATACTGCTATTATTAAATGAAGATTCACAGTTTTAAGATGAAAAATCATGATGTACTACATTCAGCTAATGTTTCAAGTCTGCAGACATAGATACCTCCTTAGTGAATTCTAATGACTCCGCAGTTAATTCGTTAAAATCAACCAACAATTCAAATAATAGTTTTCAAAGGTTGAGGCCCAGGCCAGTGGAAGCGTTCTGGCCCAGCTTGCCCAAGGTCCTGAGTGCTATCCCCAGACAAACAGAAGATCACATTTTCAGATGTAATATGGAAAATACTAGTTTTTCTTTTTTGCCCTAAGTTTATGGTTTTATCATGTTACTATATGTAGTTTCAGACTAAGTAAATGACCTAAAAAATCTAGCCAAAGTAAAAAAAAATTTATTACATGTCACAAAATGGTGCCAATGTCCACTGTTGGACCTTCAAATAGATTGCGTCTTTTTTCGTCATGATAATGGCAGTGAAATGTAGCTCAAAATACTTAAAATGCTCTTTTCCATAATTTTAGTTTCAAGTGAGCCATCTAAATCATGACAGACACATTATCAAGGGTCACAAACCCTTCTTTTCTAGGGTTGATCTTTGTTTCTTCAGTCCTATGGTTGGTTAGTTTAGCGAGCTTTACTCAATCAAAATGAGCATGCTTGGTCCAGAATGCTGTGGTAGCAGATGTTCGCTAGCAGAGGGCAACGTGGCCACGCACTGGCCCTCAGCGCCTGCCTGACCTGGCCCAACTTTCTGTACAAAACTCAGGGGACTGACTGAGATGTCTGGGGCTGTGGCTTAGGTCTACTAGGCCTTGGCTGCTTGTCAGTCGGCAGAGGGAGCACTTCCCCTACATCTTAAAACCATCAGTCAGGGTTCAATACCACCACTAAAAAGGAAACGGACAGAGTTTTGATCATACACTTGAAAAAAGTCTAGAAATTGTTTCCTGAACTCAAAGGCAAAGTCCCATGCCAGGGTTATTTTGTAAAAGTAAAGCAGGCAAAACATATGCATGAATGAAACATCCAGTGGTGATGTGTTTAGGAAAGAGAAACACCAGACCACACAGGAGAGGCTGTTTGAGGTCACGGACCCAAACCTGGTAAATCATGAAAATATTAGCAAACTGGGGCTAAGGCAAACAAACCACCAGTGATTGCTAGACTATTCCTTTTGCAGTTTTCATTGATATACTGGAGACAAGCTGGGACGCAAGGCCAGAACCAGGAGTCTCCCTGGAGACCAATGACAGAAAACCAAAACCAAAGAGACAAACCGTGTCCAAGGACCCTGATGAGCTCTTGTCCAGATACTCAGAAGTCTCTGGAAACTAGTGGGGGTATTCAGTATTGTTTAATTATTAGACAACCTCGTATCATATATAAAGTTTTTATTCCTTAGTAAGAATTTTTCAATCACAAAATAGTGTGGCAATATTTAGATAATAGAATTTATGGAGTGCTGAAAATACTAGAATATAAAGATAGTTTCTAGCTTATCTTTACATACCAAACTTGTCTAAACCAGCTGGTTTCTTGCAGACAGTATTTATTTGTTTAATAATTTAAGACAGCGTAAGCTTGCACCTAGCATTATAAGCATTGTAACCAAAGTGCAAACATTTCACCAAGTCCTCCCCAAAAGATATTTTAACTAAAAATATCATTAGCACGTATCTTCTCCCTACAAAAATAGCATGTCAGACATCATTAATTGGGTGTATTAACAGCTATGTACATACAGCCGCCTTGGTAGGCTAAGAGTTTAACGTTGTTTAAACACAGCGTTTGAGGCAAACAGTAGCAACAGCAGCAGCAGCAACAGCAAACGGACCCGAACACACTCATAGACCCAGATAATGTCTTCACTCCAGACTATTGTGTCTCACCCCTTACATAACATTCAAGTGAGATTTCTCAGTGCTACCTTGGCAACAAACTAAAAATATCTAGACAAGGTCTTGGTTTATGCCTTATTTTAACAAGCTTTCTTTCTGATTATCTGGCATCTGGTTTGGTCTCCAGAGATAGCAGGGCCTGGCAGGACTCCCCTGTACCTCTTCACAGCACTTCCGATTACAGGGGACCACTAGCCCTTCCTCCACGTCTGTCATCTAAGAATGTGAGCACAAATCAATCAGTCTCCAGCCCAGCGCACTTAAAAAAAAACAAAAACAAAACAAAACTAAACCGTTAACGTTACAAAAATTTGGGACCATGATGGGTAAAAGAACGCGCAGTGGCGGGGGTGGGTGGGTGACACGCATCAGAAACACAAACATGACCTATGGCATATGCACAGGAATTGAGAAATTAAAGTGGGGCAGAGGATTTGAGGTCAATTGTCAATAAAGTGCCAGCGAAGGCGTCCAGGGCTCCAACCTCCCTCCCCAGCTCCCACCCCAACACAGGGCCTGAGGATGGCCCGACTCTCCCAGTCTTTCCAAACAAGTGCAAGGGGTAACCACACCGCTCCAACCACCTCCCAGGAGGGCAACGGCATCCTCACCTCTGAAAAAATGAGTACCTTTCAAAAAGCCAAACAATACAAAATACTGACACGTGTAAATTTAAGTCTCAGGAGATCCTGGGTTAATGGAGTGCCTCCTAAAGGGACAGCTGGGAGGCACACCTGCTGCACCAGGCCCCAGAGTCAGAGGACCCTAGCACCAGGCTCCAACTGGTTCCCCATGGCTCTCCCACCCAACACACTTCCAGAACCAGGCTCTGTCTGGAAAAGGGAGGGGGGCACGGACTAAATTTACGGAGGGTAACAGAACATAACCAGTATTTCTCACGGAGGATCTGTGACGGCGGGGGTGGGGGTTGGGTGTGAGCGGGCAGAGGGGTGGGGTGGCAAAAGGGTGAGAAACGGGCAAAACAGGAACTCCAAACGTACACAAAACACCTGTTTTTGTCCTAAGCCTGCCGAGCATCTCTTACTCTTCCTCCCTGGCACGCGTTAAGGGGCGTTTGAACTTGGAAACCGGGCGACTCCTCCGGAGCCCTTTGCCCCTGTTCTGGAAGAGCTGCGGGGCTCAGGGGGCATCTTTGGCCGGCTGTGAGGCATCTTCCTGAGAGCTCTCCGGGTTCCCTGCGCGCGGCAGGTGGGTGCGGCTGTGAGCGTGTTGGGGGCGCAGCGGCCCGGGGGGCGCCACCTCGTGCGCCAGCAGAGGGACACCGGCGGCCGCGCCTGCCTTCTCAGGAGGCGGCGACAGCACGGACGACAGGCAGGGGAAGGCGGCGGCGGCGGCTGCTGCGGGGATGCCAGGATACAACAGCGGGAAGGGGGCGGCCGCCGCGGGGTACAGATACTTGTCCAGGCCGCTCTTGTCCAGCCAGGGCTGCACGTAGGCGGCGGCGGACGGCGACAGCAGGTAGAAGGGCAGGCAGAAGGGCGCGGCGGCCGGCTGCGCGAAGGGCGCGCCCCCGCCCAGGGCCACCAGCGAGCCGAGCAGCGCGGGCTCCGGGCCCAGGAGCGCGCCGCGCGCCTCCAGCTTCGGCCTCTTGGGCGCAGGGGACGGGTCCCCAGGTGGCTCCTGCTTGACGGCGGCGCGGCCCTGCTCCGCCTCGCCTCCGTAGCCGCTGTCGGTGTCCGTGTCATGCTCGGGCTCGGTGCCGGGCTGAGTCCGCTGGATGACCGGCACGCAGCGGGCCGCGCGCTCGGGGCCCGGGGTGGCCGCAGCCCCCGTGCTGCAGGGCGCGCGGCCCGGGCCCCTGCCCGGGGGCACCTGTGGCGTCAGGAGCTGGGTGGCCACGGCGTGCAGGTGGCTGACGAGCTGGGCACAGCGCGGCTCTCTGGGCGTCCAGCTCTCAAAGCGCGCGAGGTATTGCAAGACTTCTTTGGCGCAGGTTTGAAACCCCGAGTGGAACGCATCCAAGTCGGCCTGGACAGGCGATTTCAGAGAGCGCTCCCCTAGGGTGCACGGGGGAGGGAGGCGAGAAGAAAAACCGCGGCATTAAGACATCTGCTCATCACGTGGGCCCTGCGCTGCCTACAGTGAGCTAGGCTTTTCCTGGGCATTCCAGCGATATAATCCGCAGACTGCCGAGAGGAGGGGGTGGTGGGGTGAGGCGCTCTCCTCCAGGCTGAAAAACCCAACTAGAGAGGCGCAGCCGCCACTTTAAATAAAAACGGGGCTCCTCCAGCTCTGCAGAAAGCCTCTGGGATGCTCTGGGTACTTGGCACCGAAGGGAAAGCATAGAGGATGTTCACTAGGAGCAGGATGCGGTGCAGAGTTCTAGGAGTGCGCCCCCAACGCTACCCGGTTTTATTTTTATTTTTATAAGGGCAGGCTTCTTCGGACCCACTTACCATTCTGTAAAGCAATTATCTTCTGATGCTGCTGCTCCGTTAAGGCTGTTAACGCTTTTAAGTGCTTCAAAGTTAATTCCAAAACTACTGCTTTCTCCAGATGCCCCAGGGTCTGCAGTGGTGCAAAAAAGAAGGGGGCAGGGACTGCTTAAAAACACGGATTTTACTTCATCAGTTCCCCACGCACCCAGCAACTTAGGCAAAGCAGGTCGTCAGGGATCTCTTTGCCTTCGGCCCGGAGCCCCTGTGCTGAGTCTCTGGGAAACTCTCCAATACAGCACAAGTTGGAAGTCAGGCCTCTTAATATTTACATTTATTACCCTATCTTGGGAGTTATAGCAGGCCAACACACCCTGGAAATCATCAAAGAATGAAAACGTGCATCTTACTGTCAATTTTAGATGTTCAGGCAGTAAATCTTTCAGCTGAGCAATGCATTCATTAATTCGGTCTCTTCTCTTCTTTTCTATTAATCTGTGCGGTAATTTGTAGGTATCCTTCATGCATGAGCCGGGGAAAAAGACGGCCGTAAGCTAGACATTCACTCATTCGCTTACTGGATAGAACCCTCCCACCCCAACCTCCAAACGCACTATGCAATGAACTAATGCCCAGGAACGCTCTCTCCTCTGACTTCTAAAATGCAATTTAAATTCAGGTGCGGTGTTGAATATCCCCCCGAGTATCCAGCAAGCCACTTAAAATTCACAGTTAGAGAAGCTCGGGGCTGGAATACATTTGCGGGCAGAGTTTCCCTGCGAAATCAATGGCCCTAATTAACTACCCAGGCGGGTTATGGGAAACTTAAGACTTACCTTGGTGTCATCCCGTTTCAAGCTCCTTTTGGGTTTACACATATACAAAGAGGAATAATCCAGTCTGCAAAAACAGAAATCAGCATCAGGCCCCCATTCCGGGAGGGGCTCTGCCCTCACCCGCTCCATATCACTTTGTGCAGAAAAAAAAAAAAGCCAAACCGACTCCTAGACAGAATTCGCAACGGTGCGTACACCTTACCCTATAAAATCCCTATGTTCCAGTAACTGTCTCTCTTGCAAATGAGGGATTCCTTCGTCCATGTTCAATGGCTGTCCGTTTCCTCCGTTTCGATTTGGAGGGTTCTGTCCTGTAATCTGTGGGACGTTCGCCTGGGGAGATCTTGGGGGGATGTGTGCGTCTCCAGGCTGTCTCGCTCTCCCTCTTCGGTGCAGTGTTGAAAGTGTGAAGCAGTTGGCCGCCCCTCCGCCCCGTGCTCGCTCGCTCACCCTCTCGCACACCCGCGCGCGCACCCCCGCGCGCGCATACACGCACTGCGCTGGTAGTTTGCTCTCACTCCGGGCAGTGTTTGGCCACAGGGCACGCGCGTCGCCGGCCAGACCAGCACCCAGCTCACGTGCGGAACGTACCATCCGCCGTCCAGCCCGGAGGGGGGCGGGGAGGAGGGGCCGGGAGGGGGCGGGGACACCTGATCGGGGCCACCGGGAGGAAGCGGCCACCCGGGCCGAGGCGTTCGTCTTCCCCGAGGCGCTGCAGGGCGCGGGGGCGGGGCGGGACGCCGGGCTCCCCCGGCTCGGCCGGCATCTCGGTGCAGAACCGTGGACGTGGCCTTTTGCTTTCCCACCGATTGCTGTTGGTTTGGGCCAGAGAAAGGACGCGAATTCCCGGTGGCTAAACTTCAGCAGGGAAGGAAAATTCCGAGGCTTTGCTCACTGCTCACTGGTCGGGCGTGGAGGGAGGGTAGGGTAGGAAGACACCCCCCTGGCACTGGCTGGAGGGCTATCCTGAGAAGGGGTGACTTGCAATTAGCTCTTTGGAAGGATTTAAGATCAGTGAAAATGTAGTCACTGGTTCCGAATGTCGCATTCCAAGTGGCTTTGGCGACACGGTGTCCCCGGGCTACCTAAACTTCCCGCAGCAGCCGGAATTGCGGTGCCACGAATCACAGCAGCAGATGACGTTTAGGGCCTCGGGTGCTCCCGGGGGAGCTCAGAGAGGGGGAGGGGTGGCACGGAGCGGGTGGCACGTAAGGTCTGCTGCGGGAAAGCCACACAGTCCGGGTCCTGCCCGCCCCAGCTTGTGAGTCGCCGTGCTGCTCCCTCCCCCCCCCTCCGTGCGATAAGCCACGCCGAGAGTGTGGCGAGCCCACGTTTACTGTTGGCACCTCCGCGGCCTCCCTCCTTAATCCCGTCTCCGGCGGGTACCAGCACAGGGCCGACAACGTGATGCGACCTGCGGCGGCTGCCACATCAGCGCGCAGGGATGCCGTGCGCGCACCCCGCGGCCTCGGGAGCTCGGTCCACAGGGCCGAAGACAGCCATCCCCAGGTGCCATTGTCCCCGCAACTCAGGATAAATAGGAATCTGAAACCCATCCCTGTGGACGTGGAGGCTCGGGGTTGTTCCTGCACTGAATTGACAGTCACGTTCTCTCGGGGACATTCGAGATCGCCAGTGGCACGTGAATCCAGAAGGGACCTGGGCCCCCAAAGCACGCGCACTGTAGCGCAGCAGGGCCAGGGCAGCGGCGCTTGGGATCCAGGGACAGATCTGGGTCGCCAGCCACGGCGGCTGGAGCGGGTCACGTGCCGCCGAGCCTCCTCCCAGCCTGGCGCGAGGCTCTGGAGCCGAGTCCTGGGCGGAGCCGCGGCGAGGAGTTCTTCTCCGGCACCCTCCTGGGTTCCTCGAGTAGGGCGACACCGCGCGTTTTACAGCAGGCGATTAATTAAAGATAACAGTGAAAGTGATTTTTAAAATGCGCATTTTTATCTTAAGTCCGATTTTTATCTTAAGCCCCGACCCACCCTCTCTCGTCTCTAAGTGGTGGATCTTTCTGATTCCAAGGCAAGTTAGAGCTCCAAACAGCGTATTGGGGCAGTATAGCATCACTGCTTCCTTCTAGTTCTTAACCAGCAAGGTTGGTGGGGGCGCGGGAAATTAAGGTGAATAATTTTAAAAATAAAAACAACAGCCCCCCTGTTCAGATTTCTGAAAGTTCGCGGTACTCCACAAACATACTCCAGAGCCAATTCCCCTTTTAAAATTATGACCAGAGCATTGGGGGGCTGAATAAGCCTGGGTCGCTGCATCTTGGCCTTGCCAGGAGAGCAGAGGAGTCACAAGGCTGACATTTGGACAGAGGACCTCTAGGACCAAGTGGGGCCAGCTTTTAGCTGAAGCTGAAACAGGAGGAAAGGAACAGGAGCCTTGAGGATCAAGGGGAAGGGTTGAGGTGAGCTTGTAAACTACCATCCCTGAAGAGACTCTGGGCTGTTCACCTCAGCTTTCTCCAACATTTCCTGCTCCCTGGCTTCCCACCCTTCTGATTCAAACTTTAATTCCACAGTCAGCATTTCTGTAATCTCTCCACTTCTGATACAGCTCAAGATGTAAATGTGCTTTTTGTCCCTTTCATTTTTATTTTTTTAGTTCTGTGAGTGCTTTGTTCTTTGAGACAGGGTCTCACTGTGTAGCCTCTCCTGGCCTGGAGCTCCCTGTATAGACCAAGCTGGCCTGCCTCCGCTTGCAGAGTGATGGAATTAAAGGTGTGTGCCATCACACCTGGCTTTTGCTCACCCCCAGACCCCCTCTTAATCGCCATTGTTGCCCTTGGTTCGTTCTTTTTTCCCTCGTCCTTCGTGCTCACCGTTTTGTTTTTCTTACTGCTTTTTTCTCCTCCCTTTCCCCTCTCCTCGTTCTTCCTGCTACACGCCATATCCCCTGTGCTTTTGTTCTGTTTGCTTTGCCTTCTTTTAATTATTCTTATGATGACACTTCTGCACATCCCCTGTCTTAAACTTGAGTCTGTTGCCACTTCTGTCTCAAACGCTTGCCCGTGGGGATCAGTCCTCCTTTGATGCACAGCATTCAGGATTAGAGTAGCAGGCTCCATCCTAAGGGCTTCTCAAGGATGAATTCTTCAATGTTTGCCATGACCCTATAAGGCATTAATGCTATTATTAGTGCCTCTGCAGGTGAGGAAGAGATATCCTTGGTGGAGACTGAGATGTGTCAAAGGTCTCACAGACAGACTGTCAGGCAGACACGTGCTCTGGAGTCTGTGCAGTTCACTTCTTCACGTGACGTCGAAGTGCACACTGGCTGCACACGGGTGTTTCTGCATTTGCCCGTGTGAGAGTGTGTGTAGGGGGTGCAAGAGAGACGGGGAAGGAGAGGGGAAATTGGGGGACCTCAGGGTTGGAGAGATGCCTCTGGTGTTTTAACAGCGCTGGCTGCTTTCTTGGAAGACTGGATTTCAATTCCCAGCACCCACGTGGAAGCTTATCGACATTTGTAACCCTCAGTTCCAGGAGACCCAGCACCCTCTTCTGTCCTCCTTGGGCACCAGGCCTGCACACACATGCATAGACATACAAGTAGGCAAAACATTTACATACATGAAATAAGTGTAAACAAGTCTTATTTGTTTATTTATTAAAGCATGGGAGCTCACTGTAGAGATGGGAGGTGTGGCAAAGGTGTGAGAGCCTTTGGACACACGGATGAGATGTGCAGGGAGCACTCGGCCCGCACTGGTTTAAGTCTGCGTAACCTATTTAGCTTGTATAATGTTACACAGGTATACCAAAGTTAGTTCAACTGTGAGAAGGTGATGGTGATCCACTTCTCCATCTTTACTGAGCAAACCAAGCCAAGGCTGACATGAGGACTTTGGGTTAGAAACTGTTAGAAACTGATGGTGAACCTAGAACTGTTGAGAGCAGAACGCAGACTGCCCTCTCCAGCGTATTTACAGGCAAATGGAGTCTTACTTAATACCATCTGAAGCCAGTAACACACAAAATGAGCTCAGCGTCCCTTCCTGTTTATAATTCAATCATTAGTGAGGGTCCCACTTGCTATTAAAGATGCCTAACTTCACTCTTCCATGGACAAGTGGGTGGACCATTGTTACCTTTGCTGCCTCTCTGGCTACCACTGCAACATCCGCCTCCTTCTCCTCAGTGTCTGTATGTGGTGGTACCTGTTGTCGGTCTGTCTGTCTCTCTCCCTCCTCTCCCTCTCCCCCTCTCTCTGTGTGGAGTAGGCCACATCGAGGCTCTCCCTCCATTACACTCCCTCATTTTATTGAGGTCTCTCACTGAATCTGGAGCTCACTGTTTTAGCCCGTCTTGCGGGCTGTTGAGCTATGCACTCCTAGTTCTGGAGTTGCCATTGTGTGTCCACGTGACTCCTGGGCAATCGGAATCTGAATTCAGGTCCTTGTGCCTGTGTAGCTGGAGAGTTTTCTCTCCGGGTCCCGCCAAGCCCCGGGAGTCTGACAGCCCACTTATAAAATAAACACACAGACGCTTATATTATTTAAACTGCTTGGCCTAATTGTGGTGGTATTGTGCTCCCCAAAATATTGTATACCTTAATAAACTTATCTGGGGTCAGAGAACAGAAAAGCCACAAGATACTTAGGCTAGAAAATGTTAGCACACGCCTTTAATCCTTGCATTCCAGAGACAGATATCCTTCTGGATCTCTGTGAGTTCAAGGCCGCATTAGAAACAGCCAGGCATGGTGACTCACGCCTTTAATCCCAGAAAGCAGCCTTTAATCCCAGGGAGTGGTGGTAGAAAGCAGAAAGGTTTATAAGGCACGAGGACCAGAAACTAGAAGCATTTGGCTGGTTAAGCATTTGGCTGGTTAAGCATTTGGCTGGTTAAGCATTCAGGCTTTTGAGCAGCAATTCAGCTGAGACCCATTCTGGATGAGGACTCCAGTCTGAGGAGACAAGACCAGCTGAGGATCCGGCGAGGTGAGGTAGCTGTGGCTTGTTCTGTCTCTCTGATCTACCAGCATTCACCCCAATAACTGGCCTCGGGTTTGATTTTATTAATAAGACTCTTTAAGATTCATGCAACACCTAATGGCTCAGGCTTCTTGTTAACTGTTCTTATATCTTAAATTAACCCATTTCTATAAATCTATACCTTGCCACGTGGCTCGTGGCTTACCGGCATCTTCACTTGCTGTTTGTCATGGCGGCTGGTAGTGTCTCTCTGACTCAGCTTTTCACTTCCCAGAATTCTCTTCTCTGCTTGTCCCGCCTATACTTCCTGCCTGGCTACTGGCCAGTCAGTGTTTTATTTATACAGAGCGATATCCACAGCATGCCTGTGCAGCAACACCTTTCCCTAGCCCTATGTCTTTTTATTTTAACACGGGGAAAGTTGTTCCCTGTAGATTGTGGTAAAATGAGTCATTTAGCCCCATGTCCCAACTATCCGAATCCCTGAACTACAAGCACCAACTGTGTGGCTTTAGGAGGTTCTATGTGTCTTTTTTCCTACAGAAACCGGGCTCTCCCTAGAGGATCATAATTCTGTTGAGAGCAGAAGTTTCCTGCCTTGTCAAGATTCTTTAGGCCTCACTGATACTCAGGAGAGGTGGTGTGTGGCTATTTCT